CGGCGAGCGATGGGAGCTGCAGCTCAAGGGCGCCGGCCCCACGCCCTTCTCCAGGTGGGCGCGGGGACGCGGGAGCGCGGGGGGTTGGGGGCAGCGGGGGCGGCCCGAGGGCTGCGGACGGTGCTCGCGCTCTTCGGGGTCATCCAAGCAGGACGCGCGCGGCTTACGGTCAGCCCGTGCGGGCCGGGTCCACGCAGCCTCGCGGGCGGCCTTAGCCTCCTCTGGTCGCTGGTCCAGTCCGCTTCCCGCCCCCGCGGGCCGGCTTGTCCTGTGAGCATCTTTAAACGTTGTGTTTTCATTTTGGAATCTCTTTGGGGGCACGGTTTCCTGTCAGGACGCTCTTTGTATTTGAAGACTTGAGTTTTTAAGTCAGTGCTTTCAGAACTGAGGTCTGCTAGAATGTTTTTTCCTTTAAAAAGAAGGGTCCACCCCGTGTGTCCGGGGATCCCTGGCCTCAGCAGTTCACCAAGTCTTCAGGCTGAAGTCCGAAGTAGCTGGGAGAAGTGAAGGATTTGTACAATGAAAACTACAAAACAATGCTGAAAGGAATTAAAGAAAATGTAAATAAATGGAAACATGTTTGTGGATTGGACGACATATTATTGTTAAAACATCCTTACCACCCAGAGTGATCTACAGATTCAGTGCATCCCTATCAAAATCCCAATGACGTTTTTTGCAGAAATAGAAAAACCCATTCTAATATTCACATGAAATCTTAAGGGACCCGGAATAGGCAAAACAATCTTGAAAAAGAACAAAGCTGGAGGACTCACACTTCCTGGTTCCAGAACTTACTACAAAGCTATAGTAATAGTAATCAAAACAGTGTGGCACTGGCATAAGGACAGGCATATGAACCGCTGAAATAGTCCAGATAAGCACTTGCATAAATGGTCGAACGATTTTTGACAAGGGTGCCGAGACCATTCCATAGGGAAAGAACAAATTATTCAGTACATGGTGCTGGGAAGACTGGATGTTCACACGCAAAAGAATGAAGCTGGACCTTTTCCTTACACCATATGCAAAAATTAAAATAGATCAAACACGTAAACTTAAGAGCTAGAACAATACAACTTTTAGAAGAAAACACAGGCCAAAGTCTTTACTACGTTGGATTTGGCAGTGGTTTCTTGGGTATAACACTGAAAGTTCAGGCATCAAAAGGAAAATTGGACTACATGAAAATTAAAGATTTTTATGCATAAAAAGATACTCTCAACATAGTTAAAAGGGTCTGGCCGATTAGCTCACCAGGTAGACCATGGCACTGATAACACCAAGGTCAAGGGTTTGGATCCCTGTACTGGCCAGCTGCCCAAAAATTAAAAAAAAAAAAAAATAGTAGAAAGGCACCCCACAGAATGGGAGAAAATATTTTCTAGTGGTGTGTAATAGTGCTAGGCATCTATAATTAACAATTTTATGTTCTCAAGTGGCTAAAAGAGAGGAGCTCAAATGTTCTCATCCCAAAGAAATGAAGTTTTGCAATGATGAATATGCTACCTACCCTATTTTTTTTTTTTTCTTTTTTGGCTACTGGCCGATGTGGGGTCCGAACCCTTGACCTTGGTTCTTGCTGTTGACAACACTGCACTTTAACCAAGTGAGCCAACCGGCCATAATTACCTGGACTTTATCATCACAAATTGTATATACATATTGAAATATAACTCTGTACCTCCTAAATATGTACAATCAATATGTGTGAGTTAGAAAAAATTAATTCCACTAGAATAAAATAAGATTAAGATGCAGAAAATATAGAGAAGTGGTAAAACTCAACAACAAAAAACCCAACTCAAAAATAGACAAAGATAGGGGCCAGCCGGTGGCTCACTCGGGAGAGTGCGGTGCTGATAACACCAAGGCCCCGGGTTCGGATCCCATTTAGGGATGGCCGGTTGCTCACTGGGTGAGTGTGGTGCTGACAACACCAAGCCAAGGGTTAAGATCCCCTTACCGGTCATCTTTAAAAAAATAAAAATAGACAAAGAACTTTCCAAAGAAGATATATAAATAGCCAACAAACACATAAAAAGGTGGTCAGTGTCACTAATCATTAGGGAAATGCAAACCACATCTACAATGAGATAACGCCTCATACCCATTAGGATGGCTACTATCAAATAAACAGTAAATTTGGGCTGGTTTGTTAGCTCACTCGGGTAGACCATGGTGTTGATAACACCAAGGTCAAGGGTTCGGATCCCCACACCGCTGGCCACCAAAGAAACCAGTAGATGTTGGTGAGGATGTGGAAAAGTTGGAACCCTTGTGTACTGTTGGTGAGCAAGTTAAGTACAGCCACTGTGGAAGACAATATGGTGGTTCCCAGACCATTAAAATGAAATGACCACGTGGTCCCGTAATTCCACTTTTGGATATACACCCAAAAGAACTGAGAGCAGGGTCTCAACATTTGTACACCGTGTTCACTGCAGCATTATTCACAATAGCTAAAATGTAGTAGCAACCCAAGTGTCCGCAGGATGAATGGATACACAAAATGTGGTATACACAGGGGTCTTCAGAAAGTTTGTGGAAAGAGGGCTGGCCCGTTAGCTCAGTTGGTTAGAGCATAGTGGGGTTTTTTGTTCTTTCGTTTTTTTTAAAGATGACCGGTCAGGGGATCTTAACCCTTGACTTGGTGTTGTCAGCACCACGCTCACCCAGTGAGCTAACCGGCCATCCCTATATGGGATCCGAACCCAGGGCCTTGGTGTTATCAGCACTGCACTCTCCCAAGTGAGCCACGGGCCGGCCCTTCCATGAACTTTTTGAAGTAACATATTTAAAAAAGGAAATTCTGCAAATGCTACAACCTGGATGGACATGCTAAGTGAGATAAGCTAGACAAAAAAGACACACACTGGACGGTTCCACCTGTACGAATGACTTAGAGTAATCAAAATCCATAGACAGTAAGAATGGTGGTTACCAGCAACGGGGAGGAGGGGGATGGAGAGTTATTTAATGGGTATAGAGTTTCAGTTTCACAAGACAAAATGATTTCTGTAAATTGAGGGTGGTAATGGTTGTACAACATGAATATATTTAATACTACTGGTCTGTACACTTAAAAATAGTTAAGATGGTAAGTTTTAAGTTTTGTGTATTTTGCCACAATAAAAAAAATTGAAAAGGGGAGGAGTCATTAGATCCTTACTCAGGCCCCACATACCCCTATATTCTGGGGTCCCTGGCCTCAGCCGTTCGCCAGGACTTGAGGCTGCAGTCTGAAGTGGCTGTGAGTGGCCTGAGACCAGTGCTGCTGGAGCCCAAGGTGTGGGTTTTGGAGATGGGCAGGTGGCTTCTTGCCTGTGCCCCTTGCCTGCTGTGGGTGTTGGGGCTCAGGACCTCTCCTGTCAGGCACAGAGGTCAGGTCTATACCTGGGCACCTAAGTCCATACCAGGGCATTAGTCCTGGTGCAGAGAAGGGACTATTGTCCAGTGGGCCCTGTGGGGCAGGGCCGCCCTGGGAAGCCTGTTGCTCCTGCTGTGTAATCTCTTTCAGTTCTGGCTTCTGCTTTGGGAACCTTGCCCTGGGCAAGAATACAGGCTGCGTGTTTTCAGGATTGTTTTTACCAGAGTCAAGATTAGCTTGGGCTGTGTTGGCTTAGCTGGGCTAAGGAGCAATTACCACAGCCAGGGAGGATGGAGTGACTTTGAGAATGGATTACCTTGGCCTTTCAGGCCCTGGCAGTTTCTCAAACAGTTTGGGATGTGTAGTGGATTGAATTATGTACCCCCCAAACTCCCTGAAGCTTTAATTGTGTCCCCCAAGCTTCATGTATTAGAAACTTAGCCCCCGCTGTGACTGTTAAGAGGGTGGGAAATCCTATTATGGTAACTGAAAGGTGGAGCCTTGAAGAGGTGATTGGATGGTAGGACCACGCAGTAGTGAGTGGATTAAAAATGGTGGTCAGGGTGTGGTTCTGAGGGCTTTAAAAGGGCAGCACAAAGAGGCTCTCTCTCTGCTCTCTCTGCTTCCACCATCTTGTAATGTGAGACCCCTGGGTCACTGTTGCCACCACCAGATGGACTTTGAACTTCCCAGCCTCAGAAACTGTAAGCAATAAGTTTTGTTTTCTTTATAAATCACCCAGATGCAAGTATTTTGTTACAAGCAACAAAAATGGACTAATACAGGATGGGACAGCAGGGGAGCGGGCAGGACTGCAGGTCCCTTTTACGTGCCGGCCAGACCAGGTGTCCAGAGGTGTCACTCACACTTGAGGTGAGCCTGCGCCTCCCAGCCCCACTCCACAGGCCTGTGGGGAGCAGGTGCACCTGGGCACCTTCGCGCAGCCTTGGTGTTCAGATGAGGCGGAGGTTGTCCTTATCGTCTCCCATGTGATTTTGTCCTTTTGAGAGAACTTTCTAAGCTATTGCAGGTGCCACGTCCCTGCGTGGCCTGTCCAGGCTCAGGACGGCCCGGCATGCAGCAGCTCCAGGCTCGCTATGTCGGTTTCTTTGGATACCAGCTGGGGGCCCTTGGAGGCTGTGTCCAGGCCTCCTGCCCTACAGAAGGGGGTGTGGACACCACTCCCCCAGGCCAGCCACGCTGCTGTGTTGCCACCACTTTCCTTTTTATATTCTGTATTTTAAAAAAATAGTAATGGAGGCTCAGTGTGTTTTAAAAAATGCTGGGACGGGCCCATGACTCACTCGGGAGAGCGTGGTGCTGATAACACCAAGGCCACGGGTTCGGATCCCACATAGGGATGGCCGGTTGGCTCACTGGCTGAGCATGGTGCTGACAACACCAAGGCAAGAGTTAAGATCCCCTTACCGGTTTTTTTTTTTTTTTTTTTTTAAATAAAATATAAAAAAATAAAATGCTCAAGCCATACAAGACCATCCAAAGTAAAATGTGATTCTGCCCCAGCTGGTTCTCCAAGCCTGGACCTGCAGAACTGCAGATGCGGCTGCGGCACACGCAGCTCTGCCCCCTGTGATGATGCTCTCAGCCGTGTGTGCTGTTCTGCAGCCTCCTCCTCTTCCTGCCCCGTCCACTCCTCTTGCGCTGTCCTTTGACGCTGTGCCCTGAGCTGACCTGCCGTCCCCTCCCTGTGGCACTCGGTCACACCCACTCTGTTCCCTCATCTCTGGGAACAGGGACAGAGAGCATTGCCTTCTCTAATGAGCACGTGCTTTTGTATCCACTTTCTCATGTATTTTCAGTTTTTTCTCTGCTACAAATAATGCTGGTTTGAACGTGTGTGCTACTGTAAAGTATTTTTGTAAAGTACATTCATAAAAGCAACTGCAGATTCGAGAGTGCGCTTGAGCTGCTGGGTCTTCTGGGAGGTTCTGGAAGCCGTGCCGTCCACAGCACACGCAGCCTCCACTGCAGGCCAGGTGCTCGGCTGTGCGGATGCCAGACCCGGCGGCACTGGGGGCTTATGAGTCTCTGGTATCAACTGAAATGGACTTTCTTTACAGTGATGTTAGAGCTGCTAAAGAGTTGTTGTTTTTTTAAAAGCTGTTAGGGTGCTTTTTTTTCCACTCTTTCCCATTTGCTGGCTTGGATCTTGGTGTTGAAGGGACACTTGCCCGACCGGCACAATGTACCCTGTGTTTGATTTCAGACAGGCTGACGGTCGCAAAGTCCTGCGGTCGAGCATCCGTGAGTTCCTGTGCAGCGAAGCCATGTTCCACCTGGGGATCCCCACCACACGGGCCGGGGCCTGCGTCACGTCCGAGTCCACAGTGGTGCGCGATGTGTTCTATGATGGTAATCCAAAATATGAAAAATGCACGGTTGTGTTGCGTATAGCTTCCACTTTCCTAAGGTAATGCCGGGGTCCTTTAGGCCTGTCTACGTGTGCTTGCTTCTAGGGTCATAGGAGACTTGTGCTTATGCAGCTGAAATGTCTAGTAGAAGCAAACTACCGTGGTCACAGCACCTGGGCTGTGTTTAGGACCTGGCCCCTGGCCTCTTGGAAAGTCGAGCCTGTCCCTAGAGCAGGCTCATAGCACACTGTTCCTGAAGTAGACACTTCACACCTACTAGGAGGCATTTGCAGTGAGAGGCACTTGGTGTTTTCTGGGTCGGGTCCCATCCTGTGTGCAGACAGTTGTGCTGAGCCCCTCCTGTCCGTGCCCCTGTCCAGGCCCTTGTCATGGCCACAAGAAATGGGGAGAGGCAGCGGCAGCAAGGGGCACCAGCAGAGGGTCCCTGAGTGGTGCTTCCTGGCGGGAGGTTTCTGGAAAGGTGCATGCACAGAGCTGCTGCCTGTGTTTATGACAAGGAAATGGCCTTGCTGAGTGTCACTGTGAGCAAACAGACTGTCATACGCCTGGTGTGTTCCAGTTTGCTGTAGTCATCCTTTCTGGTGGTCCAGTCACTCATGGGTTAGGGGTCTTTCTGGTGGGCTCCTGTCTTTGGGGAACCTATCAGTCTTGGTATCACCTTGCCGTCTGGCTTCCAGTGCTTTTTCATTCCTGATTACCTGAACCTAGCGTTGTTAGGAGGTGGCCATGGCAACCTGTGGTTCTCCTGTCCTGCAGGGCCAGGCTGGCCATTTCCCTGGTGACTGCCAGCTGCCCATGCCTGAGGCAGCCTGTGTCAGTCTCTCGTTTTTCTTATCCTCTCCCCTGGAGGCTGGGAAGGATCCAGGGCAGAGACCTGCCTCACGAGGAGACCCTTATCCACAGTGGCACTATTGACACTTTGACGGGGAACATCCTATGGGTCGTATGACGTTTAGCAACACCCCTGGCGTCTGCCCGCCAATTGCCAGTAGAACCACAGTTGTGACAATGAAAAATCTCCAGACGTTGTCTGATATTCCCTGGGGGACAGTCGCTCTGGTTGAGAACCACTCCTGATAGCTCACAGACCCTGCTTGCCGCCCATGTCCCCACCTGAGGATGCTGGTGACAGGCTGCAGCCCGCAGTGTGGGAGGACGTGCACAGGACCCTCTGTGAGGAGTTGGGCACGGCGGCTTCTGGGCCCCGTGGGCCTCCTGTGCACATGTCCCAGGCTGTGGGAACGGGGCCTCGGTCAGTGGCTGGAGGTTGGCCAAAGGTGAGCCATGTCTGTATTCATGTTATTTAAAGCCCAGTTACGTTCTCATTGCTTGTGGGGTTTTGTTTCCATTGAGGTGCTGGATTCCTGCCAGGGGGCTACGGGATCCAGTAGCCACAACTTCTTTCTTTTTTCTTTTCTCACAAGGGGCTGCGGTTGTGTATGACCTGTTGAAAACTCGGGTTTTCCCTCCAGGTTTGGATCCTTTGAAATTTTCAAGTCTGCCGACGAGCACACAGGGCGGGCGGGCCCCAGCGTGGGAAGGAATGACATTCGCGTGCAGATGCTTGACTATGTGGTTGGCTCTTTCTACCCCGAAGTCCAGGCCGCCCACGGCAGCGACCGCGTGCAGAGGAACGCCGCCTTCTTCCGGGAGGTAGGTGGGCCGCGTGCTGCCCTCCCTGTGGCAGCGCTAGGTGACCCCACCTGCTTCTAAGCATGGTGTTGGCCGGTGGACCAAGGCTTTCACCCAATGTCCCTTCTCTGTCCACAAACCCTATCCCTTCCCTCAGACTTGGGGGTGGGCCGTGAGCGTGTCATCCAGGCTTTGACCAGGGCTGACTTCCACAAACACTTTGCTGAGGCTTAGGGTCCTGAGGCAAACCCAAAACTCACTGTGATTCAGCAGCACCACGGGGCCTGTTTGTGTTTGCCCTCATGCCGGGAGCACCTGCGGGTCCCAGTGGGGTCTTAGCCAGCGGGAGGGAAGGAGTTGGCTCAGGTGGATGTGCTGATGGGTGCTGGGTGCCTCCCACATGGGTCGATGCCCCAGAGCAGCCAGCCCCATGTCTACATTTTGGGAGACACTGTCTACGCAACTGGTTCTGGGTTCACCCCCAGAACTGTCAGATGTGGCCCTGCATCTCACGGATAATGCACTGTCCCACACGACCAGTTGATGTCATCACAGGACATCCTGAGTGCGGTGGGACTCAGGGCTGCCAACATCAGTAGGTGAAGGAGGAAGGGTCAAGCCGAGTTGGAGTGCAGGGAGGGTGGGCCACAGGTCTCCTCTGAGGGGGAGTCAGATACCCCCATGTGGAGCAGCTGCAGCTGGGGCCTGATGCAGAGCTTTGCTGCCCTGTGGCTGCAGAGCCCAAGGGACAGCAGACATAGGACCAGCAGGTGTCTCCGGAGCTCCATCCTCCTCCAGGTCACTCCTCTATTCCCTCATTGGCGACACTCTGTGGTCACATGACAGGGCCTCACGCTTCTGTGCAGATGTGGATGGGTGGTCCAAGCAGGTCGCTCTGCCTCTCTGAGTCTTTCTGTCAGTGAGGCCAGGACAGTGCTGCCCCATTCCTGGGCGTGGCCTCGCGTGAGGTGAGGTGTGTGCAGCGTACGTGCCCTGCATGGGCAGTGGTGTTGGTGGGCACTGGGCACCAGGGGCTCTCAGGGGCACCTGGCATCTTGCAGGACTCCTGGTCTCCCTGTTGATTGGTGCCTGCACCTGAGGCCACGTTGGTGCTGGGCTTCGTAGGGGCTGCTGTCTGGTTGGGGGATTGGGTGAGCAGCAGGGTTGGCAACTGGACCCTGGCCCTGGTGGCACCCACGGTGGAGATAGCCCTGGACCTGGGGCAGGTTTTGTCCAACACTGTGGTAGCTTCCTTGTTTCCACGGTGTCTTCCTACTGGGTCTGAATCTTGGGAATGTCAGGCTTCCCTGATTTTTCTGGTTTGGGTAAAAGCCAAAATTTGTGAGCACATCAAAGAATAGATGGTGCACACGGTGATTAGATACCAGCTCACCCAAAATACTCCTCCTCCTAAAATATTTGTACGTGTCCTCCCCTGTGGGTGAGGAGATTGCAGAGGACACTGGAACAGAAATCCCACAGAAGTCACCAGAGAGCAAGAACCACGCAGAGAAGTGCAGCTGGTTTCAGGGAGGGGGTGGGTTGGCAGCTGGACTCGCTGTGGGACGAGTGAGGGCAGGTGGGGCTGGGCAGGGGCTCAGAGGAGGAAGCAGCCAGCACCTGTCCTGCCCCAGGTGACCCGCCGCACAGCCCGGATGGTGGCAGAGTGGCAGTGTGTGGGCTTCTGCCACGGCGTGCTCAACACCGACAACATGAGCATCGTGGGGCTCACCATCGACTATGGGCCCTTCGGCTTCCTGGACAGGTGAGTGGCCCTAGGGCCCGATGGTGCAGGTGGTGGGCCTCATGCCGTCTGCAGCCAACCCAGAAACTGGTCCCTGGGAGGGGCAGAGACACCCGTGGCTCAGGGACCATTGGGGATGTCTAGCCTTCAGGCATGAGGCTGCTCCTGTAAGGTCTTTTTTCAGTAGTCAGTTCCTGACAGTGCCTGGTCGGCCATTCCTGGAAGCAGAAACCCCTGGAGGGTTTCGAGCACAGTACCAGGGGCTGTCTTAGCACTATAAAAGGGGTCCCTCCTGCAGGCTGAAAACAGATTGAAGGGGTTGGGGTGGTAACAGGCCTCTCCAGAGGGGGCAGCGCCAAGGAGTGTGGCTTCCTCTAAAGCTCGAGGTGGAGCTAATGTCTGGTGGCTGTTGGTACTTACACAGGAGAGAGTCGCAGGCAACTCCACGGTCCTTGACCTGAGCCTGTGGGGACAGGGCAGGAGAGCAGCGGCTACCCCCAAGGGGCCTGCATTGTCCCCTCGGTGTGTACCCTGAGGCAGCTCTCTTGCCTGTGTGGCAGATACGACCCCGACCACGTGTGTAATGCCTCCGACAACACTGGGCGCTATGCATACAGCAGGCAGCCCGAGGTGTGCAAGTGGAACCTGCAGAAGCTGGCCGAAGCTCTGGAGCCCGAGCTGCCCCGCGAGCTGGGCGAGGCCATCCTGGCCGAGGAGTTTGATACCGAGTTCCAAAGGCACTACCTGCAGAAGATGCGCAAGAAGCTGGGCCTTGTGCGAGTGGAGCAGGAGGAGGACACGGCGCTGGTGGTCAAGCTCCTGCAGACCATGCACCTGACTGGTGAGCCGGGGGTTCAGTGTTTTTATTGTGGTTTAATATGCAATTTACCAGCTCAGTGGCACTGAGCACATTCACGTTGTTGTACAACGTCACCACTGTTCTTCTGCAGAACTTTTCCTCCTCCCAAATAGAAACTCTGTGTCTGTTAAACAGCAACTCCCCCACCGCTCCCCCAGCCCTGGCAGGCACCACTGATTCTGTGTGACTGCTCTAGGGACCTCATATGAGTGAGGTCATCATACAGTATTCATCCTTTCCTGACTGGCTTATGTCACTTAGTGTCCTCAAGGTTCATCCACCTTTTATTTTTAGCATGTGTCAGTTTCCTGTCTTTTTAAGGCTCCACTGTGTGAATGGATCACATTTTGCTAATCATCTTGCGGTGCACACGTGGGCTGTTCTCATTGCTGGGCCGCTGTGTATGATGCTGCTGTGAAACAAACACGCACGTGTCTGTGTGATCCCTGCTTCCAGTTCTTTTCGGTATACAGTTAGTGGGATTGCTGGATCTTATGTCTAACTCGCCTAATTGCTCTGGCTAGAACTTCTAGTACTGTGTTGAATAGAAGTGGTGACACTGGGTGTTTTTGTCTTGTCTCTGATCTTAGGGGAAAGCTTTGTCTCTCACCGTTGAGTACAATGTTAGTTGTGGGGTTTTTTATATATGGCTTTTATCAAGTTAAGGAAGTTTGTTTTTACCATGAAAGGCTGTGGATTTTGTGAAGTGGTTTTTCCTGCAGCAGTTGAGATCATCATGTGGTTTTTTTATTTCTTCATATTTCCTTGCATTCTGGGGATAAATCCTACTTGGTCGTGATGGATAATCATTTTAACATACTGCTGAGTTCCCTTTGCTGAGGATTTTTGTGTCTGTGCTCATAGGGATATTGGCCTGAAGTTTTCTTTTCTCGTAGTGTGTTTGGCTTTGATATTGAGGCAATGCAGCCTCACAGGATGAGTTAGGAGGTGTTTCCCCCTCTTCTGTTTTTGCAGAAAAGTTTGAGGATTGGTATTAGGTTTTAAATGTTTAGTAGAATTCACCAGTGCAGCCATCTGGTCCTGGCCTTTTCTCTGTTGGGAAGTGTTTGATTACAGATCAACCTCCTGACATGTTATAGGTCTATTTAGATTTTCTGTTTCTTCTTGAATGAGTTTTGGTAATTTGTGTGTTTACGAATTTGTCCGTGATGTCTAGGTTATCGGATTTTGGCATAAAATTTTTCACAGCATTTTTTTTCATTGTGGTAAGAACACTTAACATGGATCTACTGTCTGAATACGTTCTTAGGTGTGCAGTATTGACTGTAGGTACAGTGTTGCACAGCCAGTCTCTGGAGCTTCTTCCCTTGCTCTATGGAAACTCTGTGCCTGTTGATCAGTGGCCTCGCATCCCCCTGCAGCCCCTGGTAAGCGCCACTCGCTGATTCTGTGCATCTGACTGCTCTTGCGACGTCATGTAAGTAGAATCACACAGTCTGTCTTTCATAGTATTCTCTTATAGTCCTTTTGCCTATATAATCAGTGTAATGTCCCCACTTTCATTTCTGATTTTAGTTATGTCTTTTCTTTTTCTCAGTCTAGCTAAAAGTTTGTTTTTTGCCAGCTATTCAGAGAACCAACTCTCGATTTCATTGATTTTCTCCTTTCTCTATTATTTTTCTCTTCTGTATTTCATTGTCTCCCTCTATGATTTCCTTCCCTTCTGCTAACTTTGGTCTTATTTTAATCTTTTTCTAGTTCCTTAGGTGTAAAGTTAGGTTGCTGATTTGAGACCATTTTTTTTGGAAATGAACTTTATGTTCTTTTATTATTTTTTTTTAGTAAGTACATTCTAAGATGTTGGGAGGGCGGGGCTGGCCCGGTGGGGGGTGGGGCAGGGCTAAGGCCCTTAACCCCCATCTCAGGACCCCAGTGGCTTCTAGCTCCTTCCCTGGCCGGGTTGTGGTGGGTGGTGGGTGGTGGGTGGGGCCAAAACCCACAGCCTGTCATCTCCTTGAGATCTTTTTTAATGTAGGCATTCACAGCTATACATTCCGAGCTGTTTTTGTTGTATCCCATAACCTGAAACTACAAGAAACTAGGCCCTGTGGAATATATTTGCTTTATAGTATACTTCACAGCAAAGAACAGCAAATAAATGATGTGGGAATTAGGAGGATAAGGAGTAAAGAAAAAAAATTTTTTTTTTTTTAAAAGATGACCGGTAAGGGGATCTTAACCCTTGACTTGGTGTTGTCAGCACCACGCTCAGCCAGTGAGCAAACCGGCCATCCCTACATGGGATCCGAACCCGGGGCCTTGGTGTTATCAGCACCACACTCTCCCGAGTGAGCCACGCGCCGGCCCATATCCCATAAATTTTGATATGTTGTGTGTTTGTTCTCATACATCTCTAAGTATTTTCTAATTTCCCTTGTGATTTCTTTGTTTTTTTGGCAGCTGGCCGGTACAGGGATCCAAACCCATGCCCTTGGTGTTACCAGCTGATAGAGGTTGGATGTGTTGTCCCCCCAAAACTCATGTGGAAATCTGATCCCCAGTGTGACCATTTTGGAAGCTTTTTGAGCCAAGGGGGCAGATCCCTCATAAATGGATTAATGCTCTCCCTAGGTGGGGAGATTTCCCGCGAGAGCTGGTTGTTGAGACCCTGGCACCTTCTCTCTCTCTCGATTTCTCTCGCCATGTGATCTGCTTGTACCCACCGGCTGCTGCCATTTTCCACCATGAGTAGAAGCAGCCTGAGGCCCATGCCAGATGCAGCTGTCCCAGAATTGTGAGCCAAATAAACCTCTGTTCTTTATAGATTACCCGGTCACAGGTATTTCTGTTATAGCAACACAAACTAATAAACTGGCCAGCCCTGTGATTTCTTTTTGGACCCACTGGTTGACTAAGCATGTGGTATTTAATTTTTGCATTATTCATGAATTTTCTAGTTTTTTTCTCCTTAACATGAAATCTACTTCCTTAAATTTTTTTTTTTTGTCTTTTTTGTGACCGGTAAGGGGATCGCAACCCTTGGTGTGGTGTCGCCCACACTGCGCTCAATAGGATCCGAACCCGCGGCGGGAGCGCCACTGCACTCCCAGCACCGTACTCTCCCGAGTGCGCCATGGGGCCGGCCCTACTCCCTTAAATTTGTAAGTGTACAAATTTTTAAGTGGTTTCTGGCTTCGTTCCATTGTGGTTGGAGAATACCAGTGTTTTCAAATTAAGACGTCTTTTGTGGCCTAATGTATGGTCTGTCCTGGAGAACGTCCTACAGAAGACTCTGCTCTGCTCTTATTGGATGTTCTTTATATGTCTCTTTGGCCTAACTCGTTTATCCCATTAAGTTCTCTGTTTCCTTACTGATCCTGTCTAGGTGTTCAGTCCATGATTGAAAGTGATGTATTAAGGTCTCCGGTTTTTACTATAGAACTGTTGTCTATTTCTTCCTTCAATCCTGTGAATATTTGCTTTGTACATTTTGGGGCTGTTTGGTGCATATAGTTATAATTTTTACATCTTCTTGATGAACTGACTCTTTTTATCAACATGTAATGCCTTCGTCTCTTGCAGCGGTCTTTGACGTACAGTCCGCTTTGTCTGAGGTCCATACAGCTGCCTGAGCTCTCTGTAGGTTTCCATTCTGTGGCGTATTTTCTTCCTCCTTTCACTTCCAATCTCTTTGTATCTCGAGTCTACAGCAGCTGTCTTGTACACAACATGGAGTTAAGTCATGTCTCTTTATCCATTCTGCCAACTGCCTCTGGATGGGAGAGGTCAGTCCGTTCACTTTGAAAGTAGTTACTGGTAAGGAGGTTCCTCTGCAGCCTGCTATTTCCTGGTATGTCTTGCACCTTTTTGTCCCTCATTTTCTCTATGACTGCCGCCTTTCGTGATCTGATTTTTTGATTTCCTTCTCATTTTCTTTTGTTTATTTTTAGATGTCTTTTTGGGGATAACCATGGTTACACGTGACAGTGTTTCACATGGACGATCTGTCGCATGTTGATCCCTGTGCCAGCAGTGTGGCAGTGGTGACTGATTATCGAGGGTTGGGTACCAGCCTCGGTGCCTTCTCGGTATTAACCCATTTCACAGATGACTTGCAGGTTCACACTGCTGTCCAAGCTGGGGGCAGATGGGGGAGCTGAGGAGTGGGCTGGTGAGGAGCAATCGAGAGTTCTAGGACCTGATGCTGGGTGCAGTCAGCCTGGTGCAGGCCGGTGCTGCAGAAGGAAGGAGCAGGTTTGGCGCCTGCTGCCCATCACCCTGAACAGCCTCGTCCTCCAGGTGCTGACTTTACCAACACCTTCTACCTGCTGAGCTCCTGCCCAGTGGAGCCAGAGTCACCAGACCTGTCTGAGTTCCTGGCCACACTGACCTCACAGTGCGCCTCCTTGGAGGAGCTAAAACTTGCCTTCCGACCCCAGATGGATCCCCGGTGAGTACTTGGGCCCTGCTTCCTTGGAATTCAGGAACACTCAGAAACAGAAGGTTTGGGGGAGTGTTAGACTTCACTGGCTGGGAGTACTTGGGGGCTGTCGGGTCCCATCTCTGTGACATTGGTCACAGAGAAAAAGACAGTGATGCTGACACAGGCTGGGAGACAGTGGTCTTCCCAGAACAGCTCTCTGGTGTACCCTGGAAAAGCTTATGAGCTCTCAGATTGCCAGGCAGACCATGCGTGCACAGCCCATCTCCCACCAGGACTAGCATGCCATGTTTGTAGAGTGCTGCCCGCGCTGAGGATAACACATGGGGGTGGTGTTTGTGACTTTTGATTAAAACAGACTGTGGTCATGGGGAATGGGATTGGGTGGGCAGGACGTGCTGAGCACGAAGTGCCTGCAACTGGGGAAGGGGGTGTCACAGCCCCTTGGGCCCTTCTGAAAACGAGAAGGGTCCAGCCCTGTTGTCACCACGGGAGGTGCTAACAGCGATGGCTGCCCCACAAACATTAAATTCTGGGGTTGGAGATTCTTGAGGGGAAATTGGCATTCAGTTAGGATGTGGGTGGAGACGCCCCTAACCCACCCCACTCAGCTTGCAGCACCTGCCTAGAGGCACGTTGGTGGGGCTCAAGGCTTCGGCCAGGGCAGCCGAGGCTGGCTGCAGCGCTGTTCATGCCGCCTCCTCCCCTTCCCTACAGGCAGCTCTCGATGATGCTGATGCTGGCACAGTCAAACCCACAGCTCTTTGCACTCTTGGGCACCCACGCAAACCTCACAAGGGAGCTGGAGCGTGTGGAGCAGCAGTCAAGGCTGGAGCAGCTGAGCCCAGCTCAGCTGCAGAGCAGGAACCAGGGCCACTGGACCACCTGGCTCCAGGAGTACAGGTAAGCCCTGCCGTGGGGCCTGGACCAGCTGTTTAGGGCCAGCTGGGGGGAGGTGGCTGCAGATGACCTCCAGTGGGGCACCCTGGGTTGCACCTACTGGGAAACACCAGCTGCGATGTGATTCTAGAGCCCGCCTAGACAAGGACAGGGAGGGTGTCAGCGACACGGCGGCCTGGCAGGTAGAGCGTATGCGTGTGATGCATAGCAACAACCCCAGGTACATCCTGCGGAACTACATTGCACAGAACGCCATCGCAGCCGCCGAGGATGGAGACTTCTCGGAGGCAAGCACACACCCGGTCCTGCTCTATCCTGGGGGTGGGGGATGGCCCAGACACCACTTCACCCTCGCTCTCCTTCAGGTGCGACGGGTGCTGAAGCTGCTGGAGGCCCCTTATCACAACCCTGGGGAAGCTGCCGAGGTCCCTGAGGCTACTGAGCCTGAGGGGGCCAGAGGGGCAGCTGGGGGGCAGCACTCCTACAGTAGCAAGCCCCCACTCTGGGCAGCGGAACTGTGTGTGACGTGATCCTCGTAACAGCCTCGGTGTCCTCCACATACCTGGAGTCTCCCGAGGCCCCCAAGTGCTGCTGAATGGTTGAGACAGTGCTGGGCCACCTTCCACGCCCAGGCAGCAAAGGCTGTGCCCTGCCACCTGTCTCTCCATGACGGCAGAGACGTCCAGTCAGCACCTGACCCGTCTCTGTCTGACACTTGACTTCTGCAGCCTGGCCCCGTGCACTACCCACCCTGTGATAAGCTGCCCCTCGTGGGGACAGGAACTCGCCCTCAGGCATATGGGTGATGCAGAGGGGGTCAGGCCCCTAAATAAAGCAGCTTCCTCAGGCCCATCTCAGTGTGGTCATTCTGCCCTTCTGCCCTGAGGGACGGGAGGACACCTTTATTACGCACTCGTCCCACAGAGCGGCCCTCAGGCATCCTGGTAGTAGTTGTTGAAGTTGATGCGTAGCAGGAAGTCCTCCAGGTGGGGCTGGTAGCCGCGGTTCACCAGCTTGGTCACCACTAGGGGGGTCAGTGAGTAGCTCAGGCTTCTGCCCGCAGTTGCACACCCCACCCTGGTTCTGCCCCCTGCAGCCCCTCCTGACCAGGGGTGGGGGCTCACCTTTGAAGAGGAAGTGGGAGTAGTACTTGAAGGTGTTGTAGGACTGCTGCATGAGGGCGAAATTGGGGTGCTCAGCACCCTGGGGGCCGCCAGTCGGGCCCCAGGCCTGGGAGATGAGCTGACTGCGGAACTTGAGCACGAGGCTGAAGATGCTGTGAATGATGTTCATGACGGGTGCCGCCTTCTCTGTCAGCAGACCCCTGTGGGGAGGGGGTGCTGCTGGGTGGGCTGTGCCTGACTATGGGCGTGTAGCCCCAGGAGCCCCGTGGCCTCACCTGAAGACGGCCTTGTGCAGGTACTCAGCATGGGCACGCTGGACCTCCTCGAGGTCACCCACCGCAGCCAGCCTGGCCCTAAACTCGCACCAGGTGACGTGCAAGATCTGGTTTGCTATATAGCCCTGGATGACCTTCACGAAATGCTGCATCTCATGCTTGAACAGCTGCAGCTGGCGGAACTGCACGGAGCTGGCTGTGTGGCTCACCAGGGCTGGCAAAGGGCAGAGGGTGAGCAGTGGCCTCGAACCACAGGGAGGGGCGGCTGGGGCCCAGACAGGCCTCACCTGTGCGCTTAAGGTGGAAACAGACATCCTTGAGTGTCCACATCATGAGCTTCAGCTGCAGCAGGAAGGAGAAGATGCCACTGTACTTGCTCAGGCAGCTCTCGGTGATGACAATGTTGAGGGGCCAGTCAACCTGCTCAGGAAGCCCAGCTTAGCACGCAGTCCCCGGACAACCCCCATGATGTGCCCAGGAAGAAGGCTGCTGCTGACCTTGTACCTGAGCTCCAGGCAGCTCAGCACATCCGGGGCGTTGGGGGCAAACACTTCAGGAAGGTACTTGAGGGCGAAGGAGAGGTTGGTAGCATGTGGGGCGTCCCCATGGAGGCTGTACTGCAGGGCCTTGCTCAGGATGGAGTTGAGGACCAGCGGGTTGAGCAACTCCCCTGGCGTCTGCCCGGCTCCAAGCTGAGGCAGGAAGGGACAACAGTCCTGAGTGCATGCCCAGCCACTTGGAGCTGCAGCTCCTCACTGGCCAGCACCCCACACCCCATGCCAGGCACTGTGGGGCATGTCCAGGTGGCCGCCTCCCCCTCCCCATGGGCTGCTCCTCTGCAGCCAGCCCACCCCCAGCCCCACGTCCAGGGTCACCTTCTCAAAGAGCAGGTCGCTGAGGGACTGAGCAAATTCGCCATCCTCCATCAATAGGAAGTGCCGCAGCGCCTCCAAGTGTGCCTCAAGGTGCAGCTCCACAAAGAAGAAGTCAACTGCGGCCTTGTTCACCAAGGAGATGCTGTGGGTGGGAGGGGGGGGTGGGAGTCAGGGCAGCAGGCAGGCTGGGGGTGTGCCTGGGTGGGCTGGGGGCACTCACTGGGCAGCCAGTGGGGCCGTGATGGAGCGTTTCATGAGCACGGGCAGCGTCAGCAGCTCACTCAGCTGCACTGCAGTCTCGTCCACGGCTGGCTGGACCTCAGGGTCCATGGGGAAGGCAAAAGCCCGGGGAAGCACCTGGTGCAGAAGGTGGGCAACGGGAGGCTCTGCTGCAGGGGATGAAATGGACTATCATTGGCACACAGGACGCACTGTCCCAGGGCTCCCACCTCAGCCGCCACTGTGGCTGTTCCACTCACACATGGACTCGTAGCTGTCCGGGTACTGCTCCAGGCGGTACTGCCTCGCCAGGCTTGCCAGGTAGGCCTGCTCCCCACTCCAGCACCGTGCCTCTGCCTCCTGGCCAGGGCCTGTGCTGCACTGGGCACCTGCACTTTCCTGAGAAGAGGCCAGTCTCAAAGACCTGGCCCCACAACTCAGCACATTGCTCCCCAGCTCCCCCCTTGTGTAGAGAAAGAAGGAAAAGGGCACATGAGATCCCCATGAGGTGACCCAAGCTGTGTCCATCTGACCTGTGAGTTCGGAGGCCAACTTGGAGAGAGGTCCTCAGTGTCCCCACTCCTCCCCGCGCCTGAGTGGGTACAAATGGACGGGAGGGACCATCAGGGCCAGGGCCTGCTGAGGGGACACAGCAGGGGTGGCCAGGCTCAGGCAGCACATCCCATGTCCCCGAGGACAGCAGCTTAGGCCCCAGTTGACAGACAAGAGCCCCAAGGGCAGCTTCACCTGCTGCCTCCTGCTCCCTGCCAGGCTCTGTGGGCCCCACAGCCCCACCTGGGACCACCTGCCCCGCTCTGACCTGGTTCCTTGGGGATGCTGTCTCCCAGAGTGTCCAGCCCAGTCACAGCAGAGGGCCAGGTCTGGAGGCTGTTCTCACTGTCTGAGCCTGGGGAGCAGGTGGAGGGAACCATTTCTGCAGGTGGCTGTGGCTCACGTTCCATGGCAGGGCTCTGAGCTGCCAGGCTAAGGCCTGACTGGGACATGAGGCCAGGGGGATTCTGGTGGGGCCTGAGTGTGCTGGGCTCAGCGTCCAATGAGAGCGCCCCCAGCGTTATGTGGGACTGAGAGGTGTGTCCACGAGCATCCCACTGTGGCAGCAAGGGAGCCACATCTGACACGTTCTCCCCAACCCTGATGCTGGCATCTGACACGTGTCCGTGGATGTTCCACCGTGGCCGGGAGGCAGCCACATCTGACACGTCCTTCCCAACCCTGATGCTGGCGTCTGACGCATGTCCGTGGATGTTCCACCGTGGCCGAGAGGGAGCCACGTCTGACACATTCTCCCCAACCCTGATGCTGGCATCTGAGACATGTCCATGGACGTTCCACCGTGGCCGAGAGGGAGCCACGTCTGACACGTTCTCCCCAACCCTGATGCTGGCATCTGACACGTGTCCATGGACGTTCCACCGTGGCCGAGAGGCAGCCACATCTGACACGTTCTCCCCAACCCTGATGCTGGCATCTGAGACATGTCCATGGACGTTCCACCGTGGCCGAGAGGGAGCCACATCTGACACGTTCTCCCCAACCCTGATGCTGG